TAGAGAAGATGGATCCAGACTTTTCACAGAGGTGCAGAATTGCATTGCGCAGGAAAGACCTCCAGAAGTTCCATCAAACCTGTATGATTCAATGATTTGGTGATGTGTTACTAATGTGACACATTAGGATTAGCCATGGCATAATGTCTGGCTTCTGAATTAATTCAGGGAAGTCCTATGGCCTCTGCCATGCAAGAGATCAGTCTGAATATCTCCAGTGTTCCCTTCTACCTTGTATACCATCATTGCAAACAGAGTTTGGATATGATTTGATGTAGCAATTCTTGGATTAATTTACAGTTAACTATAGCAATATTCATAGAATCATAGAATCATAGAATAATTAGGGTTGGAAAGGACCTTAAGATCATCTAGTTCCAACCCCCCTGCCATGGGCAGGGACACCTCACACTAAACCATCTCACCCAAAGCTCTGTCCAACCTGGTCTTGAACAGTGCCAGGGATGGAGCATTCACAACCTCCCTGGGCAGCCCATTCCAGTGCCTCACCACCCTAACAAGAAAGAATTTCCTCCTTATATCCAATCTAAACTTCCCCTGTTTAAGTTTTAACCTGTTACCCCTTGTCCTGTCACTACAGTCCCTAATGAAGAGTCCCTCCCCAGCATGCCTATAGGCCCTTCAGATACTGGAAGGCTGCTATCAGGTCTCCACGCAGCCTTCTCTTCTCCAGGCTGAACAGCCCCAACTTTCTCAGCCTGTCTTCATACGGGAGGTGCTCCAGTTCCCTGATCATCCTTGTGGCCCTTCTCTGGACTTGTTCCAACAGTTCCATGTCCTTTTTATGTTGAGAACACCAGAACTGCACACAATACTCCAGGTGAGGTCTCACAAGAGCAGAGTAGAGGGGCAGGATCACCTCCTTTGACCTGCTGGTCACGCTCCTTTTGATGCAGTCCAGGATACGGTTGGCTTTCTGGGCTGTGAGCGGACACTGAAGCTGGCTCATGTTCATTTTCTCATCAACCAACAGCCCCAAGTCCTTCTCCACAGGGCTGCTCTGAATCTCTTCTCTGCCCAGCCTGTAGCTGTGCCTGGGATTGCTCCCACCCAGCTGTAAGACCTTGCACGTGGCATGGTTAAACTTCGTGAGGTTGACATCAGCCCACCTCACAAGCATGTCAAGGTCCCTCTGGATGGCATTCCTTCCCTCCAGAGTATCAACCGAACCACACAGCTTGGTGTCATCTGCAAACTTGCTGAGGACGCACTCAATCCCACTGCCCATGTCAGCTACGAAGATGTTGGCATGTCACAATTTGATTTGCCCTTAGAAACATTGAGCTGATGTGACTATTCCTTTTGTAATGCATACCAAATATTAGTAAATCATTATAATCAAAATGAGTTGGTAACATTTACTCGTTTAGGCAGCAGTTGTTATTTTCTATTTATATTAAGTCTTTCACTGTAAGTGGTCATGAGGCTTTAAAACCTCTCCAGTAAATAAGTGCCACTGGTACCTGTGTAGCACACTTATATAGCAGGGGGGAAAGTTGTTGTAAGCTATCTTTTAGCTCCCTGAACAGCAGAATTATTCTTCTTGGAAAGGTTGTGTGTTTCATGCTACTAGGATGTAGTTTAGCTGTTTTCCTCCATCCAGTCTTGCCCCTGGATGAAGAAAAGAGGTGGAAATGTTTTCCTGCTCACCTTCTCTCTCATGGGCAATGCATAGTCCGTAATGGGAGAAGTGGTACAGCAAAGTACTCTTGTATGCAGCTATGAGCAGGTGTCATATCTCGTCTTGGTTTTGGTTAGTCATGGCCATAGTTACAGAATTGCATCTGCAGCAAAATGACATTCACCACAGATGAAATACAGCAAACTGAAAAGGTGAGTGCAGTGGCTTTTGAACTGTGCACAGTGACATGCCGTCATAATTCTTGTCAGAAGTGAAGAAAGACTTTGTGACTCCTCAGGTCAGTTTTCATACTGGCTGAGAGCACATTGCATAGAGCTCTGTTTATGACCAGTGTTTTAATCATAAATCCTATTTCTTGTCTGCACTTCGTTTCTAAGATTTGATAGGAGATAGCAGTGAAAAGGGGTATGAGTTCATGGGGTAAAATTGTCTCAAAACAGCTGGCAGCTGATTTAGCTTTCAGAAGAGGGAGTTAACATGGAGTATTTTTTATGCTTTCATTCAGCGCTGCAGGAGGAGGGAGGTCTACGGAGAAGGGAGGTCTACTGATGATGTAAGCTCAGGGTTTGGGTTGCTTGTATGGTCAAATCCTGAGATAATCAAAACGATTATTCCCTGGGTAAGGAGTGCAACATCTGTGTGTCAGGCAAAGACAGTCCTTGGAAGATTTCTCAGGTATTGTAAGCTCCAAAACTGCCTGAGAAGATAAAACGCTATTTATTTTCTCTCTGCTGTGGTAGCAGGCATTTCTGCCTTCCATACTCATGCTGTAAAGGGAGAGCCAGAAGGGAGATTTAATTTAACAATCAAACATTTCTACCGTTACCTATTTCATGTCAGAGGAGTTGCTGGTGAAGTACTAATGTCCTGTGTGTAGAGAGTGGGGCTGAGGAAAATGCTGTATGGAGATGGGAGATGGCAGCTCTATGGACCTCTTTGCTTAATGCCATTTGGATTTTCTTCATTGCTAGTGAGGGAAGAGGCATCTTTTCTATATGTGAAGGCCGGATTTTTCTGCCTGCTGAGAGCAGGAAAGCTGCTGAATCTCTTTTAGTAGCCCATCAGGCCTAAGGGCTTCAACACCGCCTGTATCACTGAGAAGGGAGATAGACATGATGGTTTCAGTCATATGGTGTTTCCACTGTGTTTTCCAAGAGAACGTGTAACTTTCAATGCCTTTTAGCACATGAAACTTAGCTCCCACAGGGAAGAGAAGTATTTATCTGATACAGAATTAGAGAAAAAACCCAGTAACTCTTTCTTATATTTTTGTTCATATAGTTATAGAATGGTTTGGGTTGGAAGGGGCCTTTAAAGTTCGTCTAGTCCTAGCCCCTCCCCACAGGCAGGGACACTTTCCACTAGACCAGGTTGCTCCAAGCCCCGTCCAACCTGGCCTTGAACACTGCCAGGGATGGGGCAGCCACAGCTTCTCTGGGCAACCCTGTACAAGCACCTCACCACCCTCACAGTGAAAAATTCCTTTCTTATATCTAGTCTAAATCTACCCTCTTTTAGTTTAGAACCACTACCCCTTTTCCTGTCATTACAGGCCATGATAAAAAGGGCCTAAACTTTTTCTGAGTCCGCTTATGCACTTGTTAAATGCATGCCTTTCTACACATTTGAATTCAAAAGGGGAGACATGTTCTTATAGTTTGGTATTAAAAAGAGATTTTTACTATTGTACAAACCTAGTGCAGCCTACTGTACACTTCTTCATTCCTGCTGTCATCAAAACAGATACCTCCTCCTGCAAACTCAGAAGCAAGAGCAGGTAGAAAGCTCACCTCCCGAACTACACAGTTTTGTACAGCATTTGTATAGCAGTAAGCAAAATCTGAGACTGTCAAAGATGATGGCAGTTTTAGAACTAAATTCCTCTAGTCTGTTTCAGGGACATTTCAGATATTAATTTCCAAAACAATTAGATATCCTTTCCAAAAAGTAGGGAAGTACCAAATATCTCTAATACTTGAGTATCTGCTGCTGCAGGCCTGATCAAAATATCCCTGTGCGCCTCTGATACAAAAGGAAGGCTTATAAATCCCAGTTGTGTACCTTTGTCTAACCTCTGGCACCAGAACAAAATGGACATGTGGAAAACCTCAGATATTGTACAGACTAGTCTTTTTGAAAGAATGATGTTTTTGCAGTAAGTGACTTAGAAAATTCAAAATAGAATTACATGGATTTCACATTTGCTTTATTTACTCAGAGATCTCGCGTGCATTAATTCAAAATAATAAGTATAGCCTTGGCAGTAGTAGTAAGGAAAATAAAATAAAATAATCTAAAAGATTACTGGAGAGTCACAGCTTGTCAGGAATGTAAGCCAAAATAAATTGTATCTTTATAATATTCTGTCCTGGTTTTGGCTGAGATAGAGTTAATTTTCTTCCTAGTAGCTGGTGCAGTGCTGTGTTTTGGCTTTAGTCTGAGTTTGTTTGTTTTAGTTGTTGCTAAATAATGCTTACCTGGATCAAGGACTTTTCAGTCTCATGCTCTGCCAATGAGGTGGGGCATGGGAAGCCAAGAGGGAACAGAGACAGGACACCTGACCCAAACTAACCAGAGGGGTATTCCATACCACAGAAGGTCATGCCCAGTATATAAACTGGGAGAGTCACCTGGAAGAGCCAGATGACTGCTTGGGTCAGTCATTGGGTGGTGAGCAATTGTGGTTGCTGTGCCTCACTTGTGTTTATTGGGGTTTATTCCTTTCTGGTTTTATCTTTGTTTTAATAATAATTATAATAATATTTTATTTAATTTGTGAAACTGTTCTGATCTCAACCCATGGGTTTCACCTTTTTTGGATTCTCCTCCCCATCCCACAAAGGGGTACGGGGACTGAGCGCATCGCTGCGTGGTACTTAGTTGCTGGCTGGGGTTAAACCATGACATATTCTTTAGTACAAAATGCCCTAAGGAGCATACAAAGTTTAAAAACCAAATGCCTTTTCCTGATGATAATTTCATCACAAAGTAATAGCGTTTTCTTGAAGACTATTTAAAAATAATTATTTTTAATAGCTGAGATAATTGGTGGGTGATTGTTTTCGAGAGGTAATAGTGAAGCAGCTCCTTTGTTATGCACAACTAGTCTTGTAAGGACTATTAATTATGTCACATTGCAAAATTCATTCTATTTAAATGGTGAAGTAACATACAAGGGATTAAAAATACTTCATTTGAAAAATAATATTGTGGTGGGCCTCTGGCAGGTAGAAGATGGAAGAGGAGTAAAACTGTAGAAAAATAGTGTGCTAAAATATCTGTTAATTAAACTGTACTATACTTCCCTAATCTTACAATTTGTATTATTCTTCCATAGCCCCAGACCATTCGGCAAACTCTTCAAAGGACACTGCAGTATTTTGAGCATCAAGTTATTGGGTAAGTGTTAATGTGAGGTAATGCAAGGTGTGTGGTAATGTTTTGCTCTGTACTTCCCAAGTGACAGCCTTGCGTGCCAAGCTTTCTACTTTTTCTCTCAGATTCTCAGAGCATCAGAACTCAGTGTTTCCTATATGAAGAAAATAGGGTATCTTTTCTATAAAAGTATAAGATCTATACCAATTTGCTTTTCACAGAGCTGGCTGAGAATGTTGTTTATTCCATGACTTGAGGATCCAAATCTTTAAAAATCCTGCATCAGTGCCTGTCACACACATACACTGTTACATACTTCCAGGTTTTTGCAGAGACAGGGCTTAAAGCCACCTCCTAAGAGTTCATTTAGAAAATTAATAGATGACTGAGGAATAAGAAGGTAATAGCAACTAACAGCATGAAAACCTAAGGGATTCCCTTACAGATTAAAATAATCTCCTTTCAACCTTTTCCTTACCTGCATGATAGTTTACTGCCACAGCTTGCTTTTCCTAACAGACAGGATAGAATGGCTGTATGTCTGTAGCCATTCAATGACTGTGCCATATGACAAATGAAGAATGCTGTCCTCTGAATTTAATTACACAGATGTAAGGTTTTGTGGTTTGTTTGTTTTTTGGTTTATTTTCAAGCTATAATGAGGGTCTTTTTAGCGTTTATGACACAGTTTCAGATCTCAGTGCACCGGAGGGAGTTGTCCTTTCTGGTTTCTCAATGTTTGGTTAACATTCTCAGGGAGCTCTAGCTTGGAGGTGATATCTGCAATATTAGCAGTCTGGTGGCACCTGGGGGCAGTGAGGGAGCCAGTCTTGGCAGGTAGCTGTGACGGGAGAAGGCAGGGGGAGAAGCCTTCTGGCTGCTAATGTTTTCAGTTGCTGAAAAAATTGCTTCAAGTGTCACATTCGGATACTTCAGAGGATGATGCAGTGCCTTGAGGGAAGCATGTGTGCAATTACAATGCAGCTTTTTATTTATGGCCACATGTGGCTTAGATATACTTTTTTAAATGGACAAACTTTAAAACTGGGACACTGAAAACCTAGAATTCCTGTGATTTACAGTACACTAAGTTTGTGAACACCAGTATGAGCTGGCTAAAGTAGTACCTGTCTCTAGCGGATGTCCTATATAATAAGATGAAAAAAGCTTTCGGGTTGATATAAAAGCATTCCTGACTCCTGCCCTGAGTGGTGCAGGGGGATGGGGCTTGTGGTCAGTCCATAAGAACTCGTCTCTGCTGCTCCAACCTCCTCATGCTGTTATAGAATAGAATAGTTTGGGTTGGAAAGGACCTTAAGATCATCTAGTTCCAACCCCCCTGCCATGGGCAGGGGCACCTCACACTAAACCATCTCACCCACGGCTCTGTCCAACCTGGCCTTCAACACTGCCAGGGATGGAGCATTTACAACTTCTTTGGGCAACCCATTCCAGTGCCTCACGATGCTCACTGTAGAGAACTCCATCCCCCTGATCATCCTCGTGGCCCTTTTCTGGACTTGTTCCAACAGTTCCATGTCCTTTTTATGTTGAGGACACCAGAACTGCACACAATACTCCAAGTGAGGTCTCACAAAAGCAGAGTAGAGGGGCAGGATCACCTCCTTCGACGTGCTGGTCATGCTCCTTTTGATGCAGCCCAGGATACAGTTGGCTTTCTGGGCTGCGAGCACACATCAAAGCTGGCTCGTGTTCATTTTCTTATCAACCAACACCCCCAAGTCCTTCTCAGCAGGGCTGCACTGAATCTCTTCTCTGCCCAACCTGTAGCTGCACCTGGGATTGCTCTGACCCAGGTGTAGGACCTTGAACTTGTCATGGTTAAACTTCATGAGGTTGGCATCAGCCCACCTCACAAGTGTGTCAAGGTCCCTCTGGATGGCATTCCTTCCCTCCAGAGTATCAACTGAACCACACAGCTTGGTGTCATCTGCAAACTTGCTGAGGGCGCACTCAATCCCACTGTCCATGTCAGTGACAAAGATGTTAAACAAGACCGGTCCCAACACCAATCCCTGAGGGACACCACTCGTTACTGGTCTCCAGCTGCACATTGAGCCATTGACCACAACTCTTTGTGTGCAGCCATCCAGCCAGTTCTTTATCCACTGAGTGGTCCATCCATCAAATTGATGTCTCTCCAACTTAGAAAGGTAACTGCTGTTCCCCTGCTCCAGCACAGTCTTTTCAAAGGCTGTAGCTTCCTTCAGGACACATCCACCTGCCCACCTTGGATCTCTATGTGCTGCAGCGGCACAGCCTACCTCACCACGGGCTACGCCATGGGCTGCAGAGGAATCTCTGCTTCAACGCCTAGAGCACCTCCTCCTCTCCTTCTGCACTGACCTGGGTGTCTGCAGGGATGTTTCTTTCACACCTCACACCTCCATGAAATGTTTTGCCCTGTCTTCTTTTCGCCAGAAGCAGCGGCTGGCACTGGCTGTCCTCAGCATGGGGCAGCCCACATATTTCCTCACAACAGCCCCTGCAGCCACTCTGCCAGCAGCTGGGCACTGACACCTGGTAACACGTAAGTGTTCATCAGATCTGTCCTGGCCAAGATGTAACCATATAATCATAGAATCATGGGATTTCTTAGCTTGAAAAGATCTTTGATATCATTGAGTCCAATTGTTAATCCAGTACCGTGGAGTCCACCACTAAACCATGTCCCAGAGTGCCACATCTACACATCTTTTGAATACCTCCAGGGATGGTGACTCAACCACTTCCCTGGGAAGCCTGTTCCAGTGTTTGGCAACCCTTTCAGGGAAGAAATTTTTCCTAATATCTGATCTAAGTTTTCCCTGGTGCAACTTGAGGGCATTTCCTCTCATCCTACCACTTGTTACTTGGGAGAAGAGACAGTCACCCACCTTGCTACAGCCCCCTACCGTTGTAGAAAGCTCAGCTGCTCCTCATGACACCTGTGCTCCAGACCCTTCACCAGCTTCACTTCCCTTCTCTGGACCCCCTCCAACACCTCAATGTCTTTCTTGTAGTGAGGGACCCAGAACTGAACACAGGATTTTAGGTGTGGCGAGGATGCTGTTGGCTTTCACTTGGGCACAAGCTGGCTCATGTTCTTCCAGCTGTTGACCAACACCCCCAGGTCCTTTTCCTCTGGGCAGCTTTTCATTCACTCTTCCCCAAGCCTGTAACATTGTATGGTCAATTGTTGTGACCCAAGTGCAGGACACAGCACTGAGGCTTGTAGAACCTCCAGATGAGAGGATTGGCTCTAGTGTCATTCATGGAGTTGGTGACACTGGCTGAAGAGATCATGCCTCTTGGCATGGTGGTGGGGTTGGGCCATGACCATGGGCCATGACAGTTTGGGCAGTGTGTCAGGTATGTGGTCTGGCATCACTGGGGACTTGGAAAGCAGAGCAGACCATGCAGCTCACTGCAGAGTGCACCAGCTCTTACCACTGGGTTTTCCGTGTCTAATATGAGCCCACTCTTCCCAATATACATTACCTCCCCTGGAGAACCATTTTCCCTGTTAGGGGTAATGTGCTGTTCAGCTCTGAAGCCTTTCTAGTCCTTTTCCACAGGTGCTGGCAACCCAGCTCCTGAGATTATGCAGACATTAACCAGATGAAGAGTAAAATCCTTAAAACTGCTATTCATGATTTAGGAAGTATAAACAAAGTATGAAAGAATAACAAAAATGTTAATAAAATACTTATCAGTCAAGCTTTTCTTTGTGTAATGAGGTAAATCGATTGTAGCTGCCTAGTGATTATCACTCTGGGGCAATATTTTCTTCACTTGTATTCCCTCTTCTGTCCTTATTATCATCTCGTAAAGCAGGTGCTAATGATAACTAAACATAGTTTCAGCTTCTGTTCTGTTTCTGTTGAATTAGGGAAAAACAATCCAACAAAACCAAGTCAAATATAATAATTTAGATGGCAGCTGCTTTCTTGCTGATTGGACCATTGCTCTGTGCCTTTCATCAGTGGTGGGATTCTTTTTAACTTTTTCTCAAGCAAGCTATAACACAACCTTTATTCTTGATAGCATATTGAGTTGCAGCTTGACATCCTTAATTCTGCTGAGATCTTTTCAGAAGTTCATTCATGGAGAAAGCCAAGTTTTAGACTTGAAGTGCTAATCTAATGTGGTGTGGAGGATTTATTATTCTTATTAGATACTCACCACTGCCTCACAAACATTTTGCTTAGAGTTTACTGTACAACTTTGTTACACACAAAACACCAGTCAGAATGATATATGCAGGACAGACATGTATAATGCCCTTCTCTCATATGTCAGCCCTTTGGAACTATTCTATTCTAATGTATTCATTTGCATTACAGATGATATTCCAGATTCTAGTATAATACTTGAAGTACCCAGGCTACTAATGCAGTGTCATCTGTGTGTGATAATGCATGAATAGAAGGGAGGAAATGGAAGGGAGGAAAGGAAGGAGGAGAGAAAGGAAGCTAAAGTTATCCTTTACCACTGCTTCTGAAAGACATTTATTGACCTTACATTTGTATAAGGAGATACTATAACTTTTTAACTTTTTCTTTTCACTAGTTACAGGGATGCAGAGAAGAACTTTCACAATATATCATACAGATGCTCCTATACAGACTGCTCTGGCAATGAAGAAACTGAAGATGTCTCAGGAATTCTACAATGTACAGCAAATGTACTTGGTATGTGCTCTTTCAAGGGACTTTGTTTCATTTAGCTGAAAGGAAAGTTTAGTGACTGTCCTAATGAACCAAGGAATTCTTGCTCCAACAAATGAAATTTAGGATGTAGGCAGCTACATCACTGTGCACTGTTACTACTTTTGTCTACATATATTTTGTGCCTTTGAGACAATCTGGCCTGATATTACAGTGGAGATTTATTGTACAATACTCAGTGATTAGAGAAGTTTCAAAGGCTTTGAGTCCAAATATCTGTGACAGACTTGCATCTGTGCAGGCCTTAGTCTTGGAATTATCTGAAGTGGTTTTATAGGGGTTCTACAGAACCAGAGATACTCTTATCATCTATGCTCCTGGTGGATAGAGGGTGTGAGAAACACAGAGCAGGATGTACCTGAGACATGAAACATTCTGGAAGCTTACATTCATGTTGAAGAATACTTGCTGCAATAAACTTTTAGAAATGTTGCATGTCAAAATGATGTCATTCACCATTGAAGTGCAACTGTCTTAATAGGTATCAAAATGAGATAGTTGGCTATTTGCATCCATTCATATGATTTATCCAGCTTATTCTCCTTCCCAAGTGTTAGTAAGCTTTACTGCTTTTCAGTCAAACTTGTGTTGCTGATACAAATCTACCAAAAAAGACAAAAAAATAAATAAAAATGCATAGCTTGACACTGAGAGCTTAATTTTTGATTGGGGTTGTTTTAAGTATTTCACTTCTATGAAACTGATCATATACTTTGGTTTGGAGTAAACTCTACACATTGAGCTTTAACCAGGGGGCAATTGTCTATACTTTACAGGGAACTGTGAGGAGGAAAAGCAGTAACTGTTTTCAAAGATAATTTTTTCAAATGGGTAATTCCTGATTTATTTATGATAGACATTTGCAGAGTAGCAAAGCTGATGTTACACAGCTCTACTTCCAGGACTGTAACAATTGACAATAAATCTTTAAGTAAGGTCTAAGGTATGAAGTGTTCTCATATATTAATTGTATGCAATTATGCCTTTCTTGTATGCAATTATGCCTTTGCCAAAAGTCACACTAACGTGGACATGTGGGTTGAGGTGTGTTTACCAGTATTACATGTGTTTGAGCTCAGTCCTGAGTCAGGTAACCACAACTCAACTGCTTGCAGCACAGCGGCTGAGCTAGCATAGGTGTGTGCCTGCTGCTGTCTAGTGTCTGCTGTGGAGCGCTGTCATTTGCTGTCGGCTGCTTTCATAGAGTTTGCAAATGAAGAGTTGTTCCAGTTGTTTCTCTGTGGGAAAGGCCCTGAGTGTCCTGGTGGCTAGCAAATGAGACATGAGCCAGAGGTGAGTCGTGGTAGCAAAGGTGGCAATAGCAGCCTCGGCTATATGGACAGTGTTAGAGATACAGTTTGAAGGGATTCATTATCCCCCTCTGCTCAGTACTTGATAGACCACATCTGGATTACTGAATCTGATATTGGGAGTGCAAAAACCATAGAGAAGTTGATAAACCAGAGGAAGTTTGGTTGAGACCATCAAGCTGGTAGGGACTACTGTACCTGCCCTGTGGGGAGAGGCTGGAGGAGCTGGGCTTGTTCAGCTTAGAGCAGAAATAGTTTTGAAAGGACCTACCAGCAGTTCCCAGTGCCTGTGGGGAAGTCCTCAATGAGAGGGAGCAGCCCTAAGCTGAAACAGCAGACATTCACATGGGGTCTTTTTTCCTATAAGGACAGTCAGGGAGAGGCACAGTTTGCCCAGAGAAGCAACTTCTGCGTGGTCTCTGTCCTTGGAGGTTTCTAACCCCAACTGGGTAAAACCATGAACAGCCTGGCCTTAACGACCAGGCAACTCAGCTCTGATTCTCTCAGCAGCTTCTCTGATTCTGGCCCAGCTAACATGAATCAGCTGTTCATATCACAGTGACATTTTTTGCTAGTTGAGTACTGGGCTTTTCTTTCTAAACTTTTATATAGCACTTATAACACTTGTGGCCATATTTTTTGTAATGTTGAAACCCTCTTTGCTCTTCCATTTGAGGTTTTGATAGGCTGCTGAAGTTGGGGTGGAAGGCATGAAATATGGCATTCTGCTTCAATAAAGGTTTCCTCTCAGCTGGTAATATACAATATAAGCGTGATATTTTTATGGGATTATGCAGTTAGAGAGATGTTCTTCAACAGGAGGCACGACTCTGATATCAGGTCTTGTATGATAATTAAAGGTAATGATTTACCTTCCATGTCAGGGGAATATGGTAAGGTGATATTCTTCGGTCTGGACCATTGTATCCTGCTGACTTAAAAATCCTTCTGCGGGTATATGCATTGCATGTCTGTCTTTTCTGTCTCGTACTGTTAAACAGACTTGGTACGCTCTGTGAAACAGCTAACACGTTCTAGTTGAGAGATCACTGTGTTTCAATGACATTCAAAATGCTTTGGGTTTTTTTTGGTGCTGTGTTCTGCAAGATGCTAGGTGCTGTCAGGGAGGTTCTGACTGCCTTTAACTGCTGCTGGGAAGAGACGGTAGCTGGCACTTGGCACATTTGGTCATGGAGAGAATTTAGAACAAATTAAATTGTAAATGCACCCAGTATTAGTTGCCATATTTTTTGGTTTGCATTTTAAAATAATTGAATGATAATGCTTAGAAAAAAATGCTATGATCGATAAGGGAGGACTCATGAAAGCAAAGACTTTTCATGTTATCATTTCCATATTAAAATTATTTTAAAAAATCAATTATTCAGTACTTATTTCACCATAATACAAAATATGTGTCCTAGAGTTATGAATATTTTTTCATCTTCAGACTGCTTTTAAATCAATATGTTAGTCTTGGCCCCATAGCATGGCTGACTAATGTAACAGACTGCTTTTTCAGTGTTATCCATGCAGGGCATGTGTGTCAGGCAGACCAGACCACTGGGATCACAGTGTAGGGATAATGTCTGGAGGATACTGTCTTGGGGAATTATTAAAGTCAACTTTACTGAAAATAAGTTTGCAGAGACTTACTCTTGGGAAAGCTCACCTTTTCAATAAGAAATTTTAGTTCATAGCAAAAAATAGATAAAACCTATGTGAGCAAAACACTGAGACAGTTTAAAAGCAGTACTTTGTTGCTTCTCCTTATCTGGGAAAAGAGCATACAGGAATGAGCAGTAAAACCAGCTTCTTAATTTTAATTGCACCTCCTGTCACAACAGGTAAATAATAAATGGAGACTGTGTAATTAATTCTCCCATACACAACTATTTTTCTGGCTGTATAAGAGTTAGTGGGAGCTGCTTCTATGCAAGAAGGATGTAACCAGTCGGCTGTGTACCCAGAGCAATTGGCACTGCTAAGACAGGAGACAGGAATGAATCTGACTGTGATGGAGGCTAGAGAAACTGTTGAACCAAATCTGGCTCTCAGGTTTATTTATATGAATGGTACCAGGGACTTGCTGTCTATGGCTGGAAGAAAGTCTTTTCTTAAAGGTGATTGGAAGCAACTTCCTGCTCTCTTACCTTAGATAATGCCAACATGATTCACCTCTCCTGACACTCTAACTGACTCTAAAATAGTCGTTTGGCATTCCTTATTCATCTGAAGACAGCAAATGCTGAGATCATTAGTAAGCTTGGAAAATTGTGAGCAGATGCTTCACCGCATGGTTCTGGTGCTTACACTGCTCGCAGGAAAGTGCTGACTGCAAGCTGTATGCTCAGCTCAATGCATGTGATTTATCATGTATGAATACTGGAATTTTCCTCCTGTCAAGTCATCACTAAAGTGTGACACCATCTTCCTGAAGTGGGAGGACCTGATTCCCTTGTCTCCTTGCTGAGTTGCTCTGCTGAGTTGCTCCTGCTACGAGTCTAGACATAGCAGAACTCTTCCTGCTTTGGTTCACTGTAATTAAGGGAGCCACGTCCATCATGTTCACCTGCTGTAAACTATGTCTGATACCAGATCAATAACACAGCTTTCCTTTGCAGTGACAGCTTCTGAGGCTGGAATATTTAATTTAACTTTGTATCCTTTCCAAAATAGTCCAGACAGCTTTATGATGGACTCAGTTTTCTTTAATTGGTGTATACACACTTTTACAATGTCCTTCATAAGCTTATAGAACCACAGAGCCATGGGATTTTTTTCAGTTTGGAAAGGATCTTTAATATCATTGCGTCCAACTGTTGATCCAGCAGTGCCAAGTCCACCACTAAACTGTGTCTCAAAGTGCCACGTCTACACATCTTTTGAATACCTCCAGGGATGGTTACTCAACCACTTCCCTGGGAAGCCTGTTCCAGTGCTTCCAATGCTTCCCCTTTCAGGGAAGAAATTTTTCCTAATATGCAATCTAAATTTTCCCTGGTGAACTTGAGGACGTGTCCTCTCATCCTATCGCTTGTTACTTGGGAGAAAAGACTGATCCCCCACCTTGCTACAAACTCCTTTTAAGTAGTTTTAGACAGTGACAAGGTCCCCTTGAGCCTCCTTTTCTCCAGGCAAAACAACCCCCGTTCCCTCAGTTGTCCCTCATCACACTTGTGCTCCAGACCCTTTGCCAGCTTCATTGCCCTTCTCTGGACCTGCTCCAGCACCTCAGTATCTTTCTTGGAGTGAGGGGCCCAGAACTGAATACAGTATTCCAAGTGTGGCCTCACCAGTGCCGAGTACAGGGGGACGATCACTTCCCTGTTCCTATCATCCAAAGGAAAAGCACATGAAATTATACTGAAGTTGCGAAAAAGAGAAATCTGTTTCTACAGGGAGCCTTTATAAAGTTCCTAGTTGGAAATAAAGTATTTCAAAGGCTAAATGCTGGCTGTTTTTATCCTGTTGGTACGTATACTGCTTTTAGCTGGCTCACTAAGCTGTGTTCAGAGCAGATTGTTGGTGTTAGTTTGATCTGAATTTAGATATAATGATAAGAAAAAACATCCTATGGTGAAGTATATTATGTTGGTGACTACCATATTTCTCCAAATAACTGTAAATTTATAATGAGGTATGTTAGAGAGA